GTCAAACAATGTTTATTCCAGCCTTATCAGAGGTGATGAACCAATTAACTGGTGACAGGAAGTCTAGCCCTTGTTCTAAGGCCTAAGGGTGAAGAATCAGATGAATTAACAGGAGTCCTTATTCAAACTTTGAGATGTTGCAGGCAGGATGAAAAAGGTGGAGTAAACAGGACTGTCTCTTGAGAAGATATTCACGTTTCCACTACAATAAACTAAAAAAAATGATCTATGACAGGGTCACAGATCATTTTCTTGAAAAGGAACGGAGGGCAGAATTTATAACCCACACATTTTATGATGTAGGCCGAAACTGAGCTTCCTCTTGTTGAAAGACCAGCATCCACCACTGGTTCTGAATGTGACTGGAAGCCAGTGAAGTTGTTGTAAAACTGGGGTGATGTGGTGAAATGAGGTCGTTTTGATGATGATGCGAGCAGCTGAATTTGAACCATTTGAAGTTTATGGAGTGATTTGCTAGGCAGACCAAAGAGGAGAGAGTTACAGTAATCGATTGGAGAAATGACCAGACTATGAACCAGGATGGGAGCAGAGTGCGGGGAGAGGGATGGACGGAGTCAATTGATGTTTCGAAGGTGAAAATATGCAGACCGGGTAGTATTATTGATGTGAGAGTGAAAAGAGAGAGTACTGTCAAGAATGACACCCAGACTCATGACCTGAGGGGAGGGAGAAACCAAGGAGCTGTCAATGGTGAGGGAGAAACTGTTAACTTTAGATAAGGTGGATTTGGTACGAATGAGAAGAAACTCAGTTTTATCACTGTTTAATTTAAGGAAGTTAGATGTGAACCAAGATTTTATTGCAGCTAAACAGGAAGTGAGGGAGGAAGGAGGGATTGAAGAATTGGGTGCAGTGGATAAGAAGAGCTGGGTGTCGTCGGCAAAGCAATGAAAGTGGATGTTAAATTTACAGAAGATATTGCCAAGGGGGAGAAGGTAGATGATGAAAAGAAGAGGCCCCAGGACAGAGCCCTGGGGCACACCTGCAGTCGGGTAAGAGTGGGATCTGAAAGATTTAAGTTGAATGAACTGAGTGCGGCCGGAGGGATAAGACTGAAACCAAGCGAGGTGTGTGTGTGTGTGTGTGTGTGTGTGTGTGTGTGTGTGTGTGTGTGTGTGTGTGTGTGTGTGTGTGTGTGTGTGATGCCGATGGATGAAAGTCTGTGAAGAAGGATAGTGTGGGAGATGGTCTCAAAAGACGCACTAAGATCAAGGAGGATGAGAAGAGAAAGTAAACCAGAATCTGCTGCCATGAGAAGAGTGTTCGTGATCCTGAAGAGAGCAGATTCTGTGCTGTGACCGGGGCGAAAACCAGACTGGAACCGTTCATACAGACTGTTTTTGGTTAAATAAAGATGGAGTTGAGAGGCAACTGTTTTTTCTAAAATTTTGGAAATGAATGGAAGCTTAGAAATAGGATGAAGATTATTGAAATTATTTGGATCCAATCAAGGTTTTTTCAGGATTGGAGTGAAAACTGCAGATTTGAGAATAGTTCGGACAGTTCCAGAAGTTCTGAGACCACTTGTAGGACTTGTAACTGATTATTTACAAGTATTATAATCTGTGTTGTATATGAATGGTGTGTAACAACGTACAGTATGTGGAATGTCTGTTGTGTGTTATTAGAAGTATACTGAAATTGGACACATGTCTCTGTCTCTGTGGACACATGGGACAACTGTCTCTGTGGACACATGGGACACCTGTCTCTGTCTCTGTGGACACATGGGACACCTGTCTCTGTCTCTGTGGACACATGGGACACCTGTCTCTCTCTGTGGACACATGGGACACCTGTCTGTCTCTGTGGACACATGGGACACAGGTCTCTGTCTCTGTGGACACATGGGACACCTGTCAGTCAGTTCTGACCTTCATCCAGTCAGAAACTGTTCTCAGAGCTGCTGCTGTCTCATCAGCTGATCTTCTGTGTTGTCCTCTCAGTCCCACAGGTGGAGGTGCAGTCAGGGGCGGAGTCTGTCCTGCTGTCCTACAGAACCACAGATCATCTGTCTGAAATCACTAAAGTGGAGTGGACAGACAGAGACGACATGAAGGTCCATGTGTTTGAGAACGGCTCTGATCAACCTGGAGAACAGGACCAGTTCTACAGAAACAGAACAGAGATGAATAAAGACCTGCTGAGAACTGGAGACCTGAGTCTGACTCTGAAACGCCCCAGAGTCAGAGAAGGTCAGATCTTCACCTGCAGAGTCTACAACAAGGAGGGACACTTCCTGATGGAGAAACAAGTTGATCTGAAGGTCAAAGGTCAGTGTTTAAATATGATGTGTTTTTCACTGAATCACCTGATTAGTTCTGATCAGTTTGATTAGAAGTTGAAGTTTGACTTTCAGAGACAAAGACACTTTGTCCCTGTCTCTGTGGACACATGGGACACCTGTCTCTGTGGACACATGGGACACCTGTCTCTGTGGACACATGTCTCTGTGGACACATGGGACATCTGTCTCTGTGGACACATGGGACATCTGTCTCTGTGGACACATCGGACACCTGTCTCTGTCTCTGTGGACACATGGGACACATGTCTCTGTCTCTGTGGACACATGGGACATCTGTCTCTGTGGACACATGTCTCTGTCTCTGTGGACACATGGTACACCTGTCTCTGTCTCTGTGGACACATGGGACACATGTCTCTGTCTCTGTGGACACATGGGACACATGTCTCTGTGGACACATGTCTCTGTCTCTGTGGACACATGGGACACATGTCTCTGTCTCTGTGGACACATGGGACACATGTCTCTGTGGACACATGTCTCTGTCTCTGTGGACACATGGGACACATGTCTCTGTCTCTGTGGACACATGGGACACATGTCAGACAGTTTTGACCTTCATCCAGTCAGAAACTGTTCTCAGATCTGCTGCTGTCTGATCAGCTGATCTTCTGTGTTTTCCTCTCAGTCCCACAGGTGGAGGTGGAGGTGGAGTCAGGGGCGGAGTCTGTCCTGCTGTCCTGCAGAACCACAGATCGTCTGCCTGAAATCACTAAAGTGGAGTGGACAAACAGAGACGACATGAAGGTCCATGTGTTTCAGAACGGCTCTGATCAACCTGAAGAACAGTTCTGTTTCTACAGAAACAGAACAGAGATGAATAAAGACCTGCTGAAAACTGGAGACCTGAGTCTGACTCTGAAACGCCCCAGAGTCAAAGACAGTCAGATCTTCACCTGTACAGTCTACAACAAGGGCGAACACACCCTGATGATGAAACAAGTTTATCTGGAGGTCAAAGGTCAGTGTTTAAATGTGATGATGGATTTTTCACTGAATCAGCTGATTAGTTCTGATCAGAGTTTGATTAGAGGATTTGATCAGTCAATAAACAGATTGTTTGATCTGTTGAAATTATAAACTTTTCATGATGACTGTTGATGATAGTATTTTACAAGTAATGTGTAAATAAAAAATACTACTTTCAAATATTCAGTTAAAATTGTAAAGAGTTAATATTC